AAAGACTAACAAGATGGTTTAATAGGTGATGAGCTTTCCCACCAAAGCTCATCACCTATTAAACCATCTTGTTAGTCTTTAAAGTACTACATAGTCTGATCTTGCTAAAACAAAAGGGAAAACTAACACGGCTACCTCTCTATTACTTCTGAAAAGCTTAGTTCCCTGATCTGGTTTTGATCTGAGGAAGTGGGTCTGGCCCACGAAAGCTCATCACCTAATAAACCATCTTGTTAGTCTTTAAAGTACTACATAGTCTGATCTTGCTAAAACAAAAGGGAAAACTAACACGGCTACCTCTCTATTACTTCTGAAAAGCTTAGTTCCCTGATCTGGTTTTGATCTGAGGAAGTGGGTCTGGCCCACGAAAGCTCATCACCTAATAAACCATCTTGTTAGTCTTTAAAGTGCTACATAGTCCTGTATTTTAGTTCCCTGAATGTACACTATGTCCCCCTGGTAGCCTGTGTTAGGCCATGTTGTCTACGCTTCAGCTGCTACAACAGCAACTGCTGTAGCACCCTAGTGTCTTTGCTTCCTAAGGGTTTATTTTTTCCCCCTGTATAGTTCATTTGCCTCTTCAAGAGGCAGCCAATAAGGTGGCAGACTTCTTCCTTCAGCTTATCAGCATCGGCACTGAGGGTTAGGCTGACAACTACAAAGTTCAGGCTGCACAATTTTGCACAGCAATGTAGCTACGTTATAGAATCATAGAATCATAGAACTGGAAGGGACCTCAAGAGATCAAGTCCAGTCCTTGCCCTCACAACAGGACCAAACATTGTCTAGAGATCATCCCTGACAAGTGTCTGTCTAACCTGCTCTTAAATACCTCCAGTGATGGATGTTCCACAACCCCCCTAGGCAATTTATTCCAGTGTTTAACCACCCTGACTGTTAGGAAGTTTTTCCTAATGTCCAACCTAAACCTCCCTTCCTGCAATTGATCAAATGTTTTAAGTGTAAACCAGACCTTAGTTAATAGCACTATTTTGCTGAACATCAGTTATCCAAAAGTTTCAGACCTTTTTGTTGTCAGTGAGAACATGACATACCTTTATTAAATCTACTTTAAAAATACTTGAGTCTAGGGCAGCATTTTCAAAAGTGCCTTAGTGGTTTAGGCACCTAAATGCTATTGACAGTCAATATAATTAAAGCATTTAAATCCTTTAGGAATTTTTGAACAATTTTATTCTAGGTTACTCCATAGTTTGGCATTTAGCCTATCAATTTGTTAAAAGCTTTTAAATAATTGTATGCTCCAGCCATTCTGGCAGCACAACCTTTGGAGTTGAAAGTTTTAACATGTTGCTGCTTTTCTAATTCACATGCAGCTAAAACACCAACACACAGTGCTGTGTCCGAACGTAGCAGGAGATCCTTATATCAAAACATGGAGATGCAGGAGTGAGGTAGGCATATGACTATAAACTTTCCTGAACATATTGGTACTTGCATCCTCACACCATTGACCAAAGTTCCACAGTCTTGTCCCAGGATGCCTGGGCTCACTATAAAGTCTAGTAAAGGTTTTTAGGCAGTGAAGGTGGAGGAAGGGAATCTTTTCTTCAAACCCTCTAAATCCTGGCTAAGAATCTGGAGAATCCTGGCCAAGAAGCTGGGAAATTAGTGGGGAAGCAACCATTGATATTTTAGGCCAGCATTTCAAAGGCCAACATTTTCAGTCATGGGTCCTTAAAATTAGGCTTCTAAATCCATATTTAGGGATTTAAATAAAAGTAGCCTGGTTCTCAGAGGTGCTGAGTGCCCACAATCCTATTGAAGTCAATGAGAGCTGCTGGTGCTCAGCATTTGAAAATCAGCCCACAAGTGATCAGAAAATGTCCATTTACTTTGACTCTGACAAGGAGAAAACCCCTGTTGCTTTTTTCACTTTCTATGCATCACAGACGTACTTCAGTACTTCTTGATGTACCTCACAGTTTCTGCTGAGAACTTTCCACCATGCTGCTGTGATTTTTAGGGACTCGAAATAATCCTGTTTGTCATGGCTCAATGAGCAATGCTGGAATGCCTGTCTTTGAACAATGGGGCATTCTTCCAGCAGAGCCTCTTTTGTCCAGTAATAAAACTTGGTTGATTCAAGCCAGCCTTCCTTTATGCAAGATGTCATTGACTTGTTATTAAGGAGTCACTGTCTGAAAAAGGCAGAACTAGCTGCAAGAGACTTTCTTCTGCTAGCTGCAAGAGGTCTTTTCCAGTGAATTGTGCACTGCCTGCAGAGTTGTATATTTTACAATGCAAATACATACATGGGATGGAATTTCTGTTGGAAAAAGCCAGCTACCAAAAATCATGTTCTTCCGCTGTGTAGGAAAGATAGAATATATGGCAAAAGACCAGCTTGGCTTAACAAGGAGATCTTGCATGATCTCAAAATAAAAAAGGAGTCATATAAAAAATGGAAACTAGGACAAATAACAAAGGATGAATATAGGCAAGCAACACGGGAATGCAGGGGCAAGATTAGAAAGGCAAAGGCACAAAATGAGATCAAACTAGCTACAGGCATAAAGGGAAACAAGAAGACCTTTTATAAATACATTAAAAGCAAGAGGAAGACCAAGGACAGGGTAGGCCCACTGCTCAGTGAGGAGGGAGAAGCAGTAACAGGAAACTTGGAAATGGCAGAGATGCTCAATGACTTCTTTGTTTCAGTCTGCACCGAGAAGTCTGATGAAGAAATGCCGAACAGTGAATGCTAGTGGGAAGGGGGTAGGTTTAGAAGATAAAATAAAAAAATAAGTTAAAAATCACCTAGAAAAGTTAGATGTCTGCAAGTCACCAGGTCCTGATTAAATGCATCCTAGAATACTCCAGGAGCTGATAGAGGTGGTATCTGAGCCTTTATCTATAAAAAGGGGAATAAGAACAACCCAGGAAATTATAGACCGGTCAGTTTAACGTCTGTCCCAGGGAAGATAATGGAGCAGGTAATTAAGGAAATCATATGCAAACACTTGGAAGGTAATAAAGTGATAGGGAATAGCCAGCATGGGTTTGTGAAGAACAAGTCATGCCAAACTAATCTGATAGCTTTCTTTGATAAGATAACGAGCCTTGTGGATAAGGGAGAAGCGGTGGATGTCATATACCTAGACTTTAGTAAGGCATTTGATACGGTCTCGCATGATATTCTTATTGATAAACTAGGCAAATATAACTTAGATAGGGCCACGATAAGGTGGGTGCATAATTGGCTGGATAACCGTAGTCAGAGAGTTGTTGTTAACGGTTCTAAATCCTGCTGGAAAGGGATAACAAGTGGAGTTCCTCAAGGGTCTGTTTTGGGACCCGTACTGTTCAATATCTTCATCAATGATGTAGATATTGGGATAGAGAGTACTCTTATTAAGTTTGCAGATGATACCAAACTGGGTGGGGTTGCGACTTCTTTGGAGGATAGGGACATAATTCAGAATGACCTTAGCAAGTTAGAGAAATGGTCGGAGGTAAACAGGATGAGGTTTAATAGAGAGAAATGCAAAGTGCTCCACTTAGGAAGGAACAATCAGTTCCATACATACAAGATGGGAAGCGACTGTCTAGGAAGGAGCATGGCGGAAAGGGATCTAGGGGTCATAGTGGACCACAAGTTGAATATGAGTCAACAGTGTGATGCTGTTGCAAAAAAAGCAAATATGATTCTAGGTTGTATTAACAGGTGTGTTGTAAGCAAAACTCGTGAAGTCATTCTGCCGCTCTACTCTGCGCTAGTTAGGCCTCAGCTGGAGTACTGTGTCCAGTTCTGGGCGCCACATTTCAAGAAAGATGTGGAGAAATTGGAAAGGGTACAGAGAAGAGCGACAAGAATGATTAAAGGTCTAGAGAAGCCTATGAAGCCAGGCTTCATGAACTGGGCTTGTTTAGTTTGGAAAAAAGAAGATTAAGGGGGGACATGATAGTGGTTTTCAAATATCTAAAAGGGTGTCACAAGGAGGAAGGAGAAAATTTGTTCCTCTTGGTTTCTGAGGACAGGACATGGAGTAATGGGCTTAAAGTGCAGCAGGGGAGGTTTAGATTGGACATTAGGAAAACATTCCTAACTGTCAGGGTGGTCAAATATTGGAATAAATTGCCAAGGGAGGTGGTGGAATCTCCCTCTCTGGAGATATTTAAGAACAGGTTAGATAGACATCTGTCAGGGATGGTGTAGACGGAGCTTGGTCCTGCCTTGAGGGCGGGGGGCTGGACTCGATGACCTCTCGAGGTCCCTTCCAGTCCTATGATTCTATGATTCTATCTCAAGAGCCCTAGGAGGCTGGGGCAGAAGCAGAGGCAAGCTGGTGCCCTAACCCAGTGACAGCACAGGCCAGGAGGGAAGGGACCTCCCCTGGTCGGGCAAATCACC